ATGCAAGCAATCTTGCGCTTATTGCTAAAGTCGTTGGCCAGTACTTTCTTGAATGGTTGGTTTTATTTATAACGTTATCGACTCAAGTAGATTAACTTATGTCGACTTGACATTCAACTGGTGGTGATCCAAGTAATTTGAACAACAGCAAAATTGATGTGTTTCATTCTCTGTGATCAAAGCGATTAAGTTTTATGTTTGAATGAGCTTTATGGTTACAGGTAAACACTTTGACTTTTATGAACTAAAGTTGCTGTTTTTATTTGTAGGTGCTGGCAAAATCTTCAAAAATGATTCCTGGTGAGTAAATGACAAAATGTTTCCCTTTCTAGACCACTTAATTCACTCACCTTTGTAGCCATATCTGATGTTGGAATTTGATAATGAGCAACAGGCAGATATTCAAACTTAGTTGAGAGTTTTTTTTCTTTCTGTGAAAGATTAGTGGATTATATTTAATGACGGACCCATTATGTTCGGTAACACCGAAAGAAGGAATAAAAAGTAAGATCTGTAGTAATGCCATGAAATTTTGTAAATTTGCCCTATTATGGTAATTTTGAGTAATTGTATGAAATTTAAACTTTTCTAGCTGTCTCTTATTGATACCCGTCTCTGTTGTCTAGTGATGCTGATGGGTACGTTAGTTTACGGGATTCGGTACACCTTTCCTGAGTATGTTTGCACATTGCTTGTTGCTGGTGGCGTATCCAGTTTTGCACTTTCAAAGGTTAGTTTCTGTGCATGCTTCTGCCTTTCTTTTGCATGTCTTTCAACTTCACTTCTTGAGGCATTGTATGGATAGAAACTGTAATGCCTTCCAGCTGTGACTTAGAACCAGTTTATGAGCTCACCAAATATATCATTCTGCATTCAGGTAATAAGAAAACTAGAAAGAGTTATTTTTAATTTGAAATTAACATAACCAGTCTCTTGCCGTATTTATGCCCAATGTATTGTCTTATTCACCATGTTCAAATGCATGCCATTGAGGAACAAATATCTACTTTATCTTCACGACAAATATGCAATCGACAGCATGTGGTTTGTCGAGTCATCACAATATTTTAGATCTCATAACATTGAAGATCCTGTTTCTTGATTTAATCTTGGCTTGCCTTAACATTTCTTTCCTTGCAGACTAGCTCGAAGACTATAAGCAAGTTAGCACATCCGAATGCTCCACTTGGATATGGGCTTTGTTTTCTGAACCTTGCTTTTGATGGTTTCACTAATGCCACTCAGGATTCAATTACTGCCAGGTAACCCAATCAGTTTTTTTCTGTCAAGTGTATTTAAATGAATAGCAACTGACGCATTACAATTGTTAGGAATACTAATGTCCGTTTTGTGTTGAACTCGTTTCATCCGCATTTCAATTTTCCCTCATACATCTCCTCCCCCCC